CTGGTGGCATGTCTGTGTTCATGCTGTCAGGTGAACAGACGGATCTGCGTTTTGTGTTTTTCCAGGTCAGGGACAAGTTCCTGCCCCAAGTGGAGGAGTTTAAGTATCTCGGGGTCTTGTTCACAAGTGACGGCAGAAGGAAGCGGGAGACAGACAGGCTGGTGCTGCGTCTGCAGTGATGCAGACGCTGTACTGGTCCGTCGAGGTGAAGAGAGAGCTGAGTCTCAATTTACCGGTCGATCTACGTCCCTACCCTCGCCTACGGTCACGAGCTGTGGGCAGTGACCGAAAGAACGAGATCGCGGATACAAGCGGCAGAAATGAGCTTCCTCCGAAGGGTGGCTGGCCTCTCCCTTAGAGATAGGGTGAGAAGTAGCTCAGAGTAGAGCTGCTGCTCCACATCGAAAGGAGCCAGCTGAGGTGGTTCGGGCATCTGACAAGGATGCCTCCTGGGCGCCTCCTGGCGAGGTGCTCCGGGCATGTCCCACCGGGAGGAGGCCCCGGGGCAGACCCAGGACGCGCTGGAGAAATTATATCTCTCGGCTGGCCTGGGAACGTCTTGGTGTTCCCCCGGATAAGCTAGAGGAGGTGGCTGGGGAGAGGGAGGTCTGGGCTTCGGCCCTGGATAAGCAGAAGAAGATGGATTGATGGTATTTACATGCTCTTTTTGCTGTTTTAGCTTCTTGGTGGTTGTTGAAATGGTTTTGTGGGCTTTTGGATGAGATTCTGACGTTTCTGTGAAAACCACACGCTTCTATATTTAAATAACAGATCTGGCGGTAATTCCAGATGTTCTCCCTCTCGCCTGCAGTACCGGGGGCAGTGGGTTCAACAAGTTGTTGTTGCTTAATTACTTTGTGTAGTATAAATGGCCATATGGGAGGTTTTTATCAGTAGGAAAAGCTGCGAAACTTGTGAAAAAACAGTTAAAAGTGCAAAATTTGTGCTTGTGGTGGTGAGCGGCAGATTCAACAAGTTAAGAATCATAAATGGCTTTAAACTCACATTCAGACTAAACAATCAGAAACCCAGAATCACTGAAATGCAGCCAGATGCTGCTCATTTTACATCTTCACTTGTTTCTTCCATTTTTCCCGTCTCTTGTGTACCACAACACTTGCTGTCTTGGAAACGCCCCCTTCCTTCTTTCACACGATTATCCCGTATGATCCCAATCTGCCTTTGCATTTGATTGGCCGCATGGTGTGCCCATCTAAGCAGAGCTAAGGAATGATGTCTCAAAGAAAAAAAGCAACATCACGAGTAATGAAACTCTCTAATAAATTAAGTTTTTAATGCTAATCTAACTGAAACCAGTCTGGAGGTATTTTCATTTTTACACACTTTCTATTCGGTTCTCTTTAAATTCTGTTTGATTTAATTTCGACTGTCAAACAGTCTCAGCCGCTGACAATGACAGAACAGCTCCAGCTTCTCTCAGTCTCTCTTTCTCATTTTGTTATGCTTGGTTTAACACTTGTTGGGAAGCTTTTGTTTACAGTAACATAACAAGTTGTCATCTCTTCGAATGACGTTATCTTCCTTTCACTTGTCTCTCAGCTGCTCTGCTAGGTGTGTTTTGCAAAGGGCACACGATAAAACAAAGAACAGAAATGGAAGGGAGGGAAACTAGCAGAGCTGTGCACGACAGCAGCAGACGCATGCACACTGAGCTAAAGACAAATGTGTATCCAGACTGAAAAAGCTGGTGAATTCCTACCAATAACTATGAAATATACACCCACCATCTACTTTGTTAAGCACACCTGTAAAAATGCTTGATAAGGTTCATATCCAGCAATTAAGTGCATTTAAGCAGAAAAAGGCAAAGTCAGAGGAGAATGGCCGGTTTGCTTCGATCTGATAGGAAGGCAACAGTAACTCAGATAACTACGGGTTACAACCAAGCTCAGAAATGCAAAAGAGCATCTCTGAACATCACATCAAAACCTGAAGCAGGTGGGCTACAGCAGCAGAAGACCGCACCGGGTGCCATCCTGTCAGCTGAGGACAGCACAGGATCGCAAACATCATCGGAGGAAATTGTACAAATAATACTGTTCTGATGCGTGACGATTTCTGTAGCACAGTGTTGTTTACCATTGTTTCTGACCACGTCCATCTCTTCATGACCACGGTGGATCCATCGTCTGATGGCCAACAGGATAACGTGTCGTTGCACAAAACTCTAAAACATCTTATTCTGGTTTCACTGAGTTCACTGTCTCCAAATGTCCTGCACGATTACCAGATCTCAGTCCAACAGAGCACCTTTGGGATTTGGTGAAACATACGACGTACATCACAGATGTTGATCGGAAAAAAACTGTGACGCAACCATGTCAAGGTAGACCAAATCTTTGGGGATTTTTTTAGCACCTTGATGAATTAAAGCAGTTCTGAAGGCCAAAGGGGTCCAACCTGGTGCTGACAAGGTGTACCTATTAAAGTGGCTGGTTAGTGTACAACAATTTATAAGGGACAAGCAGCGAACTTTGTGTTGCCGAGTCACGCCTCACAGTGAGTCTGCTCCATCTGTGAGCTGACTATGTGTACATGCTAATGCAGTTTTCTGAATAGGTCCAAAGTTGACACTGTGCATAGAAGAATAACGTTTCAGACCGTCTGTGGATAACTTTCTCTCCATTCTGTGTTAATTCCTCTCTATTAGTGCGATGTACCTATTAAAGTGGCAGAGTAGTGCATAAACGTAGAGCTTGGCTCCACAAGCCCCCTCCCCCATTGCTTTTAGAAAGGTACCTGAAAACACCTGTAGATTGGCTCAAAACTAGAGGAAATGTTTAAACATAAGGCAAGAAAACATTTGCATAAGATGTGTTTTTTGTGCTCTGATGAATATCATACTGCAGTTCAGGAACATCTTTTTCCCCCATAAACGGTCCAGATTAGTATCTCACACTCTGGCTCTCAATAAGGACAGTCGAGTTGTCACTCATGATCGTGTTATTAGATAGGAAACACAAAAGCAACACTCGCTGCCTTTATATTTTGTTTCGGCTCTGACCAGTCTTTGATTGACATCTCTAAAAACGCTCTGCAGAGATTTCCATTCTTTAAAGGACACACAATAAGTTTTTGGAAAAAAAACACTGCGACAGGGTGCAAACTGCTGAGGCGGTTTGCACAAAAGCTCCGATGGCTCCATATGACAGTACTTTGATATGTACTTGTAATGTCAATACTACTGTCAAAAATATCCACAGTCTGCACAGTATTCACTTCTGCTATTCAGTTGCCAAACGCAGTTAAGGCTTTTTTGTTCTATCTGCATCGTTCCTCCTCATCATCGCTTCTTCGCTCCGTGTTTTTAAATATCCCACAGTTCCCTCCCCTGTGTCTTTTCATTCCATTGATTTGTTCCTCTTGAATACATAACCAGACATGAAAACCAAAAATTGCCCCTTTCTCTCCATTTTTTTGTACTCTAGTCAAGTCAAAACAATAGTAACAAAACAACTCTCTATCAGTGTCTCTCCATCTTTTTTACTTTATGATTATCCTCATCGTTCCTTCATCTCCCATTCTCATCTTTCTGAAGTTACACGGCTGTAGATCAGCTGTTGTCCTCTCCATACCTTTACCTTCAAAGCTTAACTGAAGATGCATTCCTCCTGATACTGCAGAGTGCTGGTATTCATAAGCATACAGTGACTTTTACAATTTCATAAGTGCAATACAACAATACAAAATTTTTAATTTATTTTATCAACTTTTCTTCTGACGATGCTGTCTGTGTTGAGCGCTCAGTGGATCTGCGTTCGACTACTCCGCCTAGGCTGCACTGTCGAGCGCAGATCCACTGAGCGCAGCGCAAGCTAGCGAGACAGAAGCTAAGCTCGTTGCAACATG